GCGTCGCGGTGTTGGGTGTCACATAGCGGCCCGGTGCTCGTGTGGTTGTCACATTAAAACCGAAGACAAACAAACAGCGACATTTGGAGTATATCTTTTTTATTTCCATCGCCGTGGGACCAGTCTCTTCAAATTTCTACGGAGCCCTGTGTTTGCGATGCTGTCAGGGTTTTTATAAAGGGCCTTGAGGAGCGATGTGGCCAATAGTTTGCTCCGCCGGAAGAGAAAAGGAGGAGGAGGAGGAGGAAGAGGGCGGGGGGGGGGGGGGGGGGGGGGGGGGGAATTTCCGAAAAAAAAAAATTAAGGGAAAAAATTCCGGGGTTTGCATGGGGGGGGGGGGGAGAAAAAAGGGGGTAATCCCGGCCGGGGAAAACATAAAGGAAAAGAAAACTAAAAAGGGGGTCCTCGTGTGCGCGGAGTGGGGGACCACACGGAAATAAATTTGGTGTGGTTTGGTTGGGTTTGTTTCTGATGGAAAAAAAAACACCACACACCCAGAGGGTGGTGTATCTTGCTTGTCTAAACACATATACCGCAACAACTGGGGGGATGGGGGGGGGGAAAAGGGTAGAGCTGCCTTATTCATTTCTTCGGTGGGGGGAGAGAGAGATCTCCTCCTCCGCGTCACGTCTGCCTCAACAACTAATTAAAGAAAAAAGAAGTCCTCTCACACTTCTTCTTGTTTCTCCGCCTCCTGGAGCCCCTACTATGAGAAAAATATAATCCAGAAGGGGGGAGGCCGTGGGAGAGAAGTTCACTGCGTCTGTCTTACTGAGTGGCCGGGGAGGAGGAAAATGATTAGACCGGAAAATGGAAGGTGGTGAAAAAGGAGTCGCACGCTGGGTGACTCTAATGGATGTCTGAGGGCTATAGAAATAGGGCGAGCAAAAGGCACCGAGGGAGAGAAAGAAAAGCTGTGGCCGTATAACTGAATAAGAGGAGGAGAGAAGATCCCCCGCCGTGTGCCAGAGAGAAGTAATAGTTATGTTCTCCCTTTTCAGACCGTTGCTGAATAATGAAGAGGATCTCCGGCCAGACTTTTAGATTGTTCAGCACTGCCCTCTACACTTTACATACAGGATAGACTGCTCAGGAGATCAAGCTATTAAAACCACATCGAAAATGTGTTGTTGTCCCCCCCCCCCCATAGTTTTGCATGCAAAGCCACAATTTTACAAACAAATATATTATTCATAGAATGTTTTTTGATCCCTCCACACTAAGCGCGCGTGACTAAAATGTAGTAGACAATGTGTGAGAAATACTACAGAATGTTGGCCAAACGTGGTACCGATCTCTAGGCTTTCACAACAGAGGACCGACTATTATCATCTTATTATGTGTATAAATGAATTGCGTAATAAATTGCGGATAAATATTTAATTTTATTGTAAGTAAGTGGGGCAGTTTACAGGTGATTTAGTATGTCAGCCTGGATAATTAATGTGTATATTGAGGTTTTACATATATATTGCTTTTATATTAATACCATGAGGATGAGTATGAAGGATTATCCATATATTAATATCTGGATTCTCATTCCAACCATATTCCTCGCCGTGCACCTGATGCGCGCCGACACATTATGAACTGCTGTGTGACGGCTTCCCACCAACCATCACGTTCACGAAGCCGGCTGCACTCGACAAAGGTGCTAATCATTTGTCTGAAATGAGAAATCACTCGTATGAGTGATCACACTCTACGCGCGCGTGTGTGTGTGTGTGTGTGTGTGCTTGTGTGTGTGTGTGTGTGTGTGTGTGTGTGTGTTTGTGTGCTGTTGCCGATGACGAGATCATTTCACCACAGCTTGTTTTTCTCTCCCTGTTTCTTTTCTCCGCTGACTCTGTCCCTCTTTGCCCTCTTCCTGTCACACCCCAGTGCATTTCATATTACTTTGCTTTTGTTTCTGAGGATTTGCCCCCTCCTCCCCCCCACTTCTCCCCCCCCCCACCCCAGATTGTTTTTTCTTAGGAAAGAAGAGATAGGAGGAAACAAAAACCATGGATGTGTGTCGGTGCTTTATCGAGCGCCTCCTCGGATGTTGGCCGTTATTCGTGGTTTTGTTACCTCTGCTGTGATTCATAGCCGCCCCCCCCTCCCCCTTCTTCCTCTTTCCCCCCCCACCGCTGTATGAAGGTTGGGTTGCCATATGCACGGCATAATGGGATGTGTATTCCGCCGAGTGGAGCTGATTGAGCGGTTTCGATTGAGACGATGAAGATTAAGCGGGGCCCCGTCTTTGAGCGTCCTCAAATAAACAGCCCCCCCCCCCCCCGAAAAGGTCCCAAGCACAACATCTGGAAGAGAGGAAAAAACGCTTTCTGGCGACACGTTGGGTTGTCTGTCCTCCTTGGACGATTCTGCCGATCACCGAGCTTTATCTTGATGGTAAACAAGGATGTAGGGCCGCCGCCATTTTTTCACAGAAGCACCGGCGGTTACGCAACACGTTTTCCACCCGCCCCGAACGGAGGGTGTGACCCTAAACCACCCCGTCAGCCCGCCGCACGTCAGTCAGGTGGATTGACTTCTTATCTCAGCTAGTCGCTTTTCCAGCTCACCCGTTTTCCTTTCAGAACCTTAGGGCCCGTCTTTTCATCGACTCACAAAAGCACGGCCCGTTTGTGTGAATCACAGATGTGTGTGTGTGTGTGTGTGTGTGTGTGTGTTGGACCTTGTGAAAACACAAAAGAGGGAAGGAAGGGACAAAAAAAAAAAAGAAGGGATGATTTGGTGTAAAAGAGGGCAGGAGCTCCCTCCTTCCTCCCCAGTATTGGCTGCCGGTGTGTATCGGGCCAGCAGGAAACAGAAACAGTAAATCAATAGCCACCAGGCTGGGCTGGAGCGTGCCCCCCGTTAGCGGCCCGTGGGACCCGCCCGGCCGCTGGGAGGGGGGGGGGATTTGCAGCACTTGTCAGGGGCTTAGAGGAGCCCTCTCTGGACCACTCGCCCCCTCCAGGTGTGCAGCGCGCGAAGGAGAGGGAGACATCTGCTGGACGCTGGGGAGACGGCGCGGCAGAATTGGGCCACCCAAAAAGCTGTGGTCACGTCGCGCTCGGTCAGCCGAGCCCAGCAGAACGTGGGCCGCTGCATTTTTGGAGGGACTCTTTCCCGGGGCGACCGCCGCAGCGCCGTGCTCGTTTAGCCCGCTTGACCACACTTGCCCCAAAAATTCCCCGGTACTCACTCACCGATGTTTAAGACGTTGTGCAAGTGCACTGCAGGTAATTCTACTCTGGTAATGCCTAAGCTCAGAGGATTAGTAATACACTCTTATTCTCAAAGTGTTCCTTTGAAGTTGCACCTTTACGCTTAATCAAAGTGAGATTTCGGGCTTTTGTGTTTACATGCTCTTAATGCGTGTGTGTGCGTGTGTGTGTGTGTGTGTGGGTCTGTGAGACAGAAAGTGTGTGCAATAGTCTTTCTGAGATAAGCCCACCAGACTGAGCATTACACATGAAAACTCCCCGGCTGTGCACTATGCTTTCATCGTATTCATACTCTCGCTCTGTTCCTCACAGCATGGGGTCTTGGGGGACCCTTTATCAGTACTGAGCAGCTTTCTAGAACCCCCCCGCCCCCCCTCCTCCCCCATCCCCCACCTGTGGTCCCTCAGTTCGCCTTTTGTGCGGAGGAATGTGAGGCGGACCGACACTGATGGAGATAAACACAGAGGGCCAAAGCAGCGCGGTGCCCATTAATCCGGCCTCCATCTTTCTTCATCATCCATGTGCTGATGAACGCGAGCACGGAGAACGTTGATTGTTTGTTTGTTTTCCGCCGCTCGATGTTGTATCAGAGACAGATGCACGCGGAGAGTAAGACACGCGATCCCGTGTCCGCTGCGACCTCGGCTGTGAGGCGTGCTTCTTTTAAAGCTGTCGTGAAAAATCAGATGCTGAAAAATCGAATGCTACAAACTGTTTACTCGCAAAATAACCCGTTCTAACAGGTGTACCTCTCCTCCCCGGCTTCCTTTACAGAGTACGCAACCCTTGATGGCGTGCCGGTAGAGACCTCAAGATGAACACGTTACCATCGATGGACCGGCACATCCAGCAGACCAATGACAGGCTGCAGTGCATCAAACAGGTGTGTACAAAGACCCCACGTAGGCCTCTGCAGAGAATCTCCATTTTCTCCTTTCTCCTCTCTGCACCTTATAAGGGCATCGGTTTTCTGTCCATTAGCTCCAGTCACACAGATCATGTTGCACAGGGTCAGAGGGGGAGGAGGGGGGGGGGGCGGGGGCACCAAACACGAGAAGAGATTTCAAAGAGTTTAGCAACAGGCCCTACTTTCTTGTGCTCGCTTGCATCACGTTCCTGCCTCCTTGTTGTGGCTTTTGCTCAAACGCTTGCTGGACTCTCCTCGCAGACACCGATACAGGCAGGAACAGTCCGACGTACCCCACGGGGGGGGGCGAAAGCCCTCTGCCTGTGATTAATCGCCTATAAGAACTCGCTCGGCTGTGGGCTTGTTTGTTTGCGCCACGCGGGTGTGATCCTTCATATCTCGCGACGTGCACGTGACGCCGGGGCGATGAACGTCGGTGGGCTCACGATTGTGAGGCGACTTGTGCCTTTTCTCTGTTAACCCCCCCCCCCAGCCCCCACTCATCTAAACTCCTGAGCACTATAATATCCTTTGTCTAAACAGCCCCTCATTGCCTTAGTGCTCTCACGTCGACCGCATGTAAGCCTGCCTGCTTGATGTCAAAGCACAGCAAAGACTTATTCTCCCAAATTGTCAGCTTTTCTTAAATGAGTTTTTTTTTTTTTTTTTTTGCACTCCCATGACAAAGCCTCCGCGATTACTTTCCCAGGCGTCACTGATAGGCCCCCAAATAGCCCGAGTTAACACGTCTAGCTTAATAAATGCACTAATTGCACTCCGGTTTATGTACTGCTCGACTCCGGCTGTAATAGAATTCGCAGTAAACCCGTCTTCAAAGGCGGCGAGTTAGTCAGCGAGCTCTGAGCTCGTGGCGGCTCTGCCAGCCGGGTGTTGTTTCGGGTTTGGGGAAAGCCGCTGGCAGAGAGCCAGATGGGTTTTTTTGTATGCGTGTGTGTGTGTGTGTGCGCGTGTGTGTGTGTTTTTTTTTTCATTCAGCCAGGTAGGCACTGAACAGCCTGAGCCTGGCCTGGCCCTCCACCCCCAACCAAACTAAACTCAAGCAGCAGCAACAACAACAACAATGCCCGGGCCTCCTCATCCTCCTCCCCGCCAAAATAAAAACGTGTCGGCATTCCGCTGTCCTCCCGCTCGGCCCAGAGCCGACATTTGTCAGGCTGAGTCGGTGGCGAGTCCAGACAGACAGCTCCCGCTGTGCCAGCTCTGATTCCCCCCCGACACACCTCCTCTAAGGCGGCGAGAACGCCAGATTATATCACTCATCTGGAGCAGTTTCTTCTCCCTCCCTCCCTCTCGCTGCACTCCGCCTTCATCGTCCGCCGGGCCCCTTTTTTCTGAGGGTTTGAGCAGCTCGCGCTCCGCGGCGGCTAATCTTCACATCCAGAATGATGAGCCACTCAAGGACGCCCTCTTGAAGCTGATTGAAGCTCATGATATCATTGGGAGCCCTGGGAGATTTTCTCCGCTGGGGGGGCGAGTACCGGGCCCGGCGCGCCGGCCCGCCGCGCACCCGAGAGCCCCCCCCTCTCCCCCCCTTTGTCCCGCAGCGCCCGAAAGCCGGCCTTTCAAAAACCGCTCACCTCGGCTGCCCCCTAAAGACAATGGCTCTACCTTCTCCGCGAGGAACACACAAAACAAGACGCTCCGGCACCAGATGAGAATAATAAACGCTTTCAAGTGGGCTCAATCTCGCCGAGTGAACAAGCTGCAGCTCTGCCCCATTTCAGAGCTATTAACCTCCTGAGCCATGAAGAAAGGGAGCCCAATTTTAAAAACCGCTTATTGTGGCCCGCCAGCCCGGGCAGCACTCAGACACTGGGAAGAAAAGACTCGACTGTTTTAGGCCTCAGTGAGCAAGCGAGAGGGACACACAGAGACTGAAAGAGATTAGACAACAGGCCGGCGGCGAGTATTGAGTCTACACACATAGCTGCCAGGACCACGGCTGTTTTCTTTGTCAGCGGCCGAGCCAGCCGGTGGACTTCTGGTGCCGAGCCTCCGTTACGTTCCGAAAAAACGGGCAATGAATGAGACGGGAATGAGAGAGGAGGAGGAGGAGGAGGATCGTAGGGAAAGATTTTGGTTGCCGTGTCGCGGGGGGTGGGGGGGGGGTGAACGCCGGGTTGTTTCCAAGAGAGAGATTAACAGGAAACACTGGCACCATTGTTGATGTGGGTGTGATGTTCCCCCCCACAATGCAGCAGGGCCTGTGAGAGAGGGCGTAAACTGGAAGGAGTCAAGGTCCTCACAGGGTTGTGCAGAAACACAAGACGTTGAATCGAGGCAGTTCGGAGTGCGGGCCTGCGAAAAAACTGTTTGGTTTTCAGTGTTTTTCCAATTTGTACTTGATGTGAATCGGAATGCCGCTCATTATTTCCCAGTGTTTCTAACGGCCGTCTCCTTTCCCCCGTGTTTGCACAGCACTTACAGAACCCGGCCAACTTCCACTCGGCGGCCACAGAGCTGCTCGACTGGTGCGGAGATCCCCGGGCGTTCCAACGACCTTTCGAGCAAAGTCTCATGGGATGTCTGACGGTATGCAAACAGTAATTATGGTTTTTCCAATTTTTAGGAGAGGTGAGCAAAACAGTAATTATTATTATTTTTTGGGGGGATACTTAGGAGAAAAGACTGGTCTCCACTTCTGATATATTTTTTTCATTTGGTACATAAATTATACAAAATTGTTCCTTTTAAATCGGGTTGAAAGCCGCTCATAGCCGGCTTTAGTCTCACCATGTCTGTTTCCAACATTTATCCAAGGCAGCTGCTCAGGCCGTAAGGGACCAGTGACAGAGGTTAAAGTCCTCGTCACCCGCTGCTTCTCTCCACTTTGTGCTCAACACACACACACACACACACACAAATGAAATAAAGAGGCTGGAACAGGACTGTGGGTACCCAGTCACCCTTAGCTATCACCAGTCAGTTCACCGTCTACCGTTTATCGATCTGGGCTCAGGGCCCGAGAGCTGGCCAGCGCCAGGTGTAAATAACACACACACATATGCACTTACAGACACAGTCACATGTGTGAAAGAGGCTTTAAAGGAGAGAATGGAAAGTTTCACGCGTCTATCGCTGACATCAGCCTTTGAAGCGCCGGAGGAACATTTTCCCCCGGCTGAAGTGGTAGCGTGAGCAAACAGATAAATGCTCATTAATGTGTAAATCACAATAAAAGCCTCTTAGAGGCAGATAAAGAGCTATACAATAGATCCCTCTCAGCATGGGGGGGAGCCGGGTGGGGAGGGAGGGGGGGGGTTCCATCGGGTGAATTATTTCATCGGACTCAGAGAGCAAACGGCTCCTTATCTGGAGAATTACAGCGTGCAACAAGTTCTCGCATTCTTTCAAGGATTTTATCTTTGTGGCTGAACTTATAACAAATGTGTGTGTTGGTTTGACAGTGCAGACAGACATCGACTTTTTCGGTTTCGGCTCTAACGGGAGCGATCTTTCACACACCAAAACCCTTTTCACGCAGAAATAAACCACACAACCCGCTGCTTAGTTTTCCCTCCAGCAAATAGAAAAGCACCCAGAGCCCCTCTCACAGTCACTGTTCTCATACTGACGGCAATATGGGCCTGGATGCGCGGAGGGAGATCAGGCCGAAAACGGCTTATGAGGTGAAACGCTTAAATCCGTGTTGAATCCTCTGACGCCGGCCGCCTGCCTCGTGCAAAACTCACTCACGCAGGAAATTAAACGATTGACAGCGGAGAGGAATCGACTGTTTGTCGGGATCGACACGGTTTGCATGATGCGGCTCGGTTGAATAGATTGTGTTGTGAGCGATTTATCCCCGGGCAAAAAAAAAAAAAATCTTCATAACAGCTTAAAATAAATTTGCTATGATTAGGCTACGTTTTATATTGTCGTCTCTTAACTACGGGTGGTAATCGGATGAACCCTGTTTATTGACATAATTCCCACAGTGTTTCTTTCATTTTACTTGGGACTAAGGCACTTTATGATCCCTGCTTGCTGTTATGTTGGCTCTCTAAAAGACACCCCAGCCGACCTTGTTAACAGTAATGTGTGTGTTGAGGTCAGAGGGAACAGAGGAGTTGCCATCTGTAAGCAGATAAAAGCAAAGGGCTTTCCTTTCTAATAAAGATTTACCCCTGTCTCCTGAGTCCTGTGTAACGTCACTCAGCGTCGCCTCTAACGTATTATATTAATGTCCTGGAGGCTCCCGCTCCATGCGCCATAAATGTTCCACCTCTTTTTAAAGTCATTAGCACAAAAGCAGTATGAGAGCCACACCGCTGAGGACAGGCTCCTCTCCAAATTGGAGGGAAGAGGAGGAATGTTAATTTACTCACTTGGTTTCTGCACTGTACTCTGAAGCAGTCACTTTATCTGTGTCTCCCCAATACCTGTTGTCTGTTTGTCTTGACAAACTCCCTTCACTTCTGGGCCCGAGCGGGCTTCTTTGATGACGACCTTTCAGCGGTTTGGCGGCCTCGCCTCTCGTGGGGGCGGACGCAGTCGCCGGACTTGTCCTGACTGTGGACCGCTGGAGCGATCCAGACTGCAGGCTCCACATTGATCTCACCATGTTTGTTTTCAGTGCGTGTTTGTCTGAAGGAAAAATGTTCAGTGACCGCGGTGGCTCATAATACTAGAAAAGTGGAAGGATTAAGATGCCTGAGCTGTGGCTCACTGTTGATTGAGCGTCAATATCTGACCAGAAAGCTGGACGGACACACACGCAAACAGATACATAAATCACTATTATTGTAATTAAATGATGTATTTAAAATGGCATCTTGATTGCAAAACAGTTGATCCAATGCCATTTTGAAAGCGCCTAAAGAATGCCTCGCCCTTTTCTTTTTCCCAGGTGGTGAGTCGCGTCGCTGCTCAGCAGGGCTACGACTTGGATCTGGGCTACAGGTTGCTGGCCGTGTGTGCCGCCAACAGGGACAAATTCACTCCCAAATCTGCAGGTAAGACCCAGCGGCACTTTGCTAAAAATGCCCCGCAGGCGCATGCTTCACACGTCGACCCTTTTGCTGCGAGACGGAGGCGAACGCAGTGCGCATTGTTCTTCACGCTGCAATCATCCACTTTTTCCACGAAAATGAAGCGCTTTAAACAAAGCGCCGTGTGGCTTCAGTTGTGATCCTTCATTACTTCATTGCGTGGATGCACCGCGTAGCTGCTCGGAATGGGTCATTACGATGTCGGGAGAAAATCTCGTAATTACACTAACAAGACTCGTTCATTTGCATATCGCTTTGTTCTTGCCGGCGCTTAAAAACACACCGCGGAGGTGGTGGCATGTAGGTTTGCGGCCGCAGACATCACGCTAAAAGCCCACAGAGCATTGTAATGTCAGGTATTTTTAGTCTCCATTAAACATTAATGTGCTATCGAGATGAGCTGTCCGGGTGGCGGCCTCACAAAAAACGCTCCACCAAAGGTAGAGAGAGAAAGAGTGAGCAGTAATGTTATCCTCAGACATTTATCTATCAAATCCAACCCCCCCCCGACCTCCTCATACCTCCTCATCCCCACCTCCCACGGTTTCTGCCGGAGCGGCCTGCTCTTGTGCATTTGTCAAAGTGAAATGTGCAGAGGCGGGAGAGAGGCGGGGGAGCGATGGATGGCCGGGGAGGTGTCGCTGATGTGTGCTGGACCGCTCACTCTGCCCTACGAAAGCCTCAGACAGCCGGTCAGAGCGGAGAGGAACCCTCGTTTCTGCCCTCACATGAGCAAACATTCTCATTAAACGGTTTGGTTTCCAAACGTTGTTTCAGGTTTTTATCAAAGAATTCCTCTCACGAGACGCAAGTTTGTTGCCGTCTTCTGCGCACACGACCCCGTGACGTGAACATCGCTCCAGCTGAATATCCTCTTTCAGCTGTGGTGGGGAGCATTTTGTCGGGAGGAACTTAGGCGGTCAGACGGACGTCGGTTTAGGATATTGATTGCTGTATTTCTCTCTCTGTCTGTGTTCCTGTGTCGGGATAATGTGATTGTTCTCCAGGCATCGGCTCGCACTGGCCGGCTGCCTGAGCCCGACTGACAGTCAGAATCATCCTCAGGCCTGCTGATGGTTCTGGGATCTAATAGAAGACAGCACTGGGTTTCAGGAAAAGCTGTTTATGCACAGCGGACAAATGGGAACTCTAGTGTAATTCTGCGGGCATGGGGTTGGGGAGGGGGAGGTGCGGCCAGTCATCAAATGAGGAAGGAAGGAAGGCAGGCTGTCTGGGTGAAAAGCAGATGTGACTCAGGGCAGATCTAACTCACTGATCATCCTTCTTACCCCTCCTTACAAGGACGTCTCTCTGAGGAAGCAGATGGGGGGGCGGGCGGGGGGGCAGATAGATGGAGACAGAGGGGACGTGATGCACACTTGACTAAGACGCATGCTCTCATCATGCATCAACAAGGTTGCAGAGAGGCTTTTTTCTGCTCTGTTGGATCTGTCTGTATTGTGTGTGTGTGTGTGTGTGTGTGTGTGTGTTAGTGTGCACACGCATAAATGTGTGTTAGATTGTGCAAGCCCAGCACAATCTCCCGACAGCCTGCATGGCGACAAAGGGCCGCGCGTCTGACACCCGAGAGCCCAGGCGAGGGCCGAGCGGTCTGGGATGCTCTCTGCGGGCTCCTCAGGGGAAGACGCAGACTCTTAAGAGTGCAGATCCATCACGCCGACCCTTTTCGTAGCATTAGTTAAAGAGGAAATTCATGAAGCAATTATTGCCCCCCCCCTCCTTTTTCGTTTAACACTTTGACAGCTTGAGATTTTTGCAACGGTAACACTTAATTTAGTAGAAAATTAAACCGGAAGCAAATAAAGGTATGACCTTCGGTACGTAAATTAGAGAGGCTACTAAAAAATAAACAGTGGAAAAAAATATTCTCCATCTCAAATTTTAAAAATAAGTGCCTTCAGTTGAGGTAAACTTTCACTTCTCCCAACAATAAATCCGCTGCCCTGTGAGACCTGTCGAGCGCATCGGGAGGAGATTTTCAGCAACGCAAACTGCTGCCGAAGAGCTGCGGGGATTGTGACCCTGCACGGGGGCCTTAAGGATTAGCGTGCTGCTCTAATCTGGAATCAGCCAGTGAAGAGATTTATCTGCTGTTAGGCGAGCTAGCATTAGCACTGTTAACGCCGTTAGCGAGTCCACGCTCTCGAAAAGGAGCAAATCACAGTTTTCTTTGGCTTTTCGGTGGCGTCGCACTCCGTCCAATAGTGGATTCTTGAATCTTCTTACGAGCCGCCTACGTTCTCCTCGTGATGATTTGTGGTCGTCGGCAGAACTTCCGGCCGAGAGGCTTGTTAGAAATTAGGTGAGCTGCTGACCTACTAACACACCAAACCCTAATAGACTTTGAGCTGTTTCGGGCTACCGTGAAGTTCAGCAGACATATAATCAGATTAAGCAAATAATCTCTCGAGGGTTTCAGCCTTTCCTTCGTCTGAATCCGTCACCGTTGGAAGCGTGGGCACCAGTGTTACACCTAAATAATTGTCATTGTGACAACATCCTATTTATTTTACCCTTCTCGACGATGTTAAAGTTCAAAGCAGACGAAAGTAAAGCGTGACTCAGTTTGTGTGTTGTGTTTGCAACATGACTTGACACGCTCCGGATTAAAGGTAGCTGCTCCCTGGAATGATCGCTATGTTCTTTGAAACCTATTTTTAATGTTTTGAGTCAGGTTTCTGCTCGCTGTTCATCCGCCCCGCTCAAAGATGAAACGATTCAATCACTCTTAGCGTCACATGTCATCGGAAAGGTTAAGATTCAACACAAGTGGCGCAGACTTATTATGATGCCTTTCCCCCTCTTCAGCTGATTAAGTGTTTGGAGAAGCTCTTTGCTCCGGGTGGCTTGTAGATTCCCCACACACGCTCGCATCTGACATTACGAGTAAACGGTCCCCAGCAAGAACAGCGTGATTGTCAGCGCTCGCTGCGATCTCAGGACAGCAGCCACTCCGCTGCGTCGACAGGGACAGAAAACTTCCAGGGTGTGGCTGTAACTCCCGCACAAACACACACACACACCGCTCACAAAAACACTTTGTGTAGACTAATTTCCCAGTGTGGGAGTGCCACACACGCACTCATTTGTCACCTATCTGTCTCAATTCACTTGATTGATTTTCTCACCCTGTCTTTCTTTCCAGCTTTGAGCTGCGTGTGTAGAACTAGAGGAAGGTGTAGGCATCCTTTTGTTACTGACCCAATCAACCTTACAGACTTTTATATTTGATTACTGCTGAGTAAGAGCGGCGGGCTGAATTATTAACAGGAAAAGGAGTTTATTTTTAGCGGGCGGGCCTCTCCTCTGACATTCTCCAGTGGTTCGCCTTAGATGATGAAACCTCTTTGCAACCCCAAACTACCCCTCAGAACTTCCCTGTCAAGTTTATAGGAATAAGGCTCATGGGGAAATGCTTATTAGGGCAGCTGCATTTGCTGCCGCTGGCTGATTGGGTCCTCTATCACTTGCTACTTAATTGGTTTGGTTTACACAGTTGCAAGTAAATGCATTTTGGTAATATCCCAGCGGTTGCACTCCAAACACAGGAGACTTTGTTCTTGTCAAAACCGGATGAGCAAAGGATTTAAATCCGCCTTTTGTTCAGGGTTGAGTTATCTGGCACCCACACCTCAGGACTCAGACCCCCCTCCCCCATCCAATCATCCCCAGGGGGACTTTCCGATAAAAACCCTTTTCAAGACATATTTCTGTCCCAACAATGGCGTCCGTTGTTGTCTCTGATTCCATTCTGCGTGGGCCACTTGTGAAGCCGTTGATGACTGAGCGCGTTTGTCACACAAAAGACGGCTCCCCTCTGATGTCGCGAGGCCAGCGGGCTTCCCTGCTCCGCACCCCCCCCCACCCCCTGCTGCACATCTCAAGGTGAAGACAGAGGGAGGACGACAACATCTCGGCCCTGTCCTGTTTCCTGACCAGATGAACTCTGATTCACACCTCATCGGGGCTCCTCCCGAGTCTCTGATGTGTCAGTTGGATTTACAAAGTGGCCTCTAATGAAGACGAGGGGACGTTGTCAGGTTACATTGTTCCACAGGCCGGAATCCAACCCTCTGATTAAGCCTTATATGTCCGCCTTAATAGATAGAGCTTCACATCTCATGCTTCCGTCATCTCCCACTTCCTCGCTCACGTTTGGGTTTTTCTGTCAGCTAAGCTCCACCCAATCTGAATTTTAGTTTCCTTTTTTTTCATCTTTTTTTTTTTTTACCCCCTTCCTGACACACTGTCACAATATGCATGCGTGTTTCTGTTTGCATTGTCTTACGTCTGTGACGGCAGCTTAGAGAAACGGGGCAGCGGCGCGCTGCACAGACTAGGCGGAGCACATCAATAACAGCACGCTCACGACAGAGGTGAGAACATCTGGAATATCTTGCCATCTCTGTCTCTGCTCCTGTTTGTCTGCGTCGCCTCGCCGTCTTTATCGCTTCCGCTCATCCTCCCTCCCTCCTCGGCTGTCTCCTCCGCTCCCCCTGTCTATTTCTCTCCCTCTTTCCCTCCCACCCATCCTCCCTCCCCCTGCAGTCTCGAGAGTGTGTTGGAGCCGGTAGCAGGTACAGCAGGAGCCCATTAGTGCTGAGCCCCGCTCTGATTGGATGAGCCGGAGAAACCGGGAGACTGCCTCTGAATAATTGATGTGCATTGTGCAGAAGCTGGACAAGGGGAAACGACAGATCAGAGAGCAAGAGAGTAGAAGAGAGAGCAAAAGAAAGGAAGAGATAAAGACAGGGGAGGAAGTGAGTGGGTAAGAAGGAGAGGAAGAGTGAGCAGAGTAACGGATATGTGCAGAGAGTGAGAGTGATAAGGCGCAGGCAGGAGGCTCGGAGGCAGCGAAAGCTTTGAGAGTTGCCACTGGCCTCTGCGGGAACTGGAGCATTTGTGACACTTGGGTCTTTTCTCTGCACTATGAAGGGAATAAGATGAGATGTGCAAGGACTTTGCTTGGCTCTGGGTAAGTGTGTGTGTGTGTGTGTGTGTGTGTGTGTGTGTGTGTGGTGTCCATGTGTGTAGGTCCACACAAAGCTACCTGGTATACTATCTGAGCAGGTTTGCCTGCATGGGGCGAGATCAGGGGTTAGCGGGGCCATTAGAGGGGACACAGTTAGAAATGTAGTGACTCAAGCAGAACTTTTCTTGTTTTCCCTTTTAAAGTATCTAATATCTTAGTCTGCAAAGGTTTTCATTTCAACTGCGCTTTCAGGTTGCAACTGTTGTTTAGGCCGCACATCTATCTTTTCTAGTGTGGTTCAAGCACTGGTTGCTCACACAAGACGGGACCAGGGCAGCGCACCACGGGTTGACCTAAATGCTAACAGGGTTATTCTGTGTATTGGTGGCTTTTTGGGGGCTAAAACTCTGGGCTGTGTGAGTGTTGCGGCCTATGTGGTGGTAATGTTTCGGTCTTTGTGTTTTTGTATCGCGGTTGGACATTTAAAGAGATCGGTTTGGGTATTACAGTGGGATCGTAGGTCAGGCATGGGGTCATGGGAATGCTGGATTTCAGCAGGTAAAATAATTACTTGGTGCTCACAATGATAGAAGAACAAACAGTTTTAGGCTTTGTCCGTTTGGATACGGTTCCTTTTCAACATTTCACTCATGCAAATGACATCATGACTCCACAGTTCAGTCCGTTCAGCGGCTGGGCAGCGTCACACGTTCGACAAACATCTTCCCGGGAAAAAAAAAGGGGCACTATTCCACGTCGGTGTCAGTGCGTGCGCTTCTATGTCAGTAGAAGATGACCCACTTTTCCACCGTGGATCTGTGAAGCCTTCAACCTGTGCTCTGAGCCGGAGCCTGCCTGCATGTCCGCTCGTTAGCAGAGAGGGGAGGGGGAGCGTAGTCATGGGAGCACAATGTAGTCAGGCAACACACAGGCCCGGCTCCTGTTGTTTCCCTCCGTCGGATGACGTTTAAAAAAAACCTGTGGTCCTCAAATGGGCGTCTCGTAAAAAGCAAAAAAACCAAACAACAACGCTGCCTTCGTATGAATGAGCAGCGGGCCATTAAGAGCGACGTGACGCCGCGGGGTGTACAATCAGTGTTCAGCCTTAAAGCTGACCACTTAATGACTCCCGCAAACGGAAGCTGTAACACGATACGGCTTCCAGCGAGCTGTCGCGGAGGTGCAGCGCTTCCTGTAAGCCCGAGCAGGGTGTCAACCGCTGAAACCGTCTGCATCCTCAACATGGCAGTCACTTCTTCCTCACTCTGTGGCTCAAGAGCTTTGCTTGTGTCTCTTATTTCACATGTGTGTGTGTGTGTCTGTGTGTGTGTGAGTGCTGCCACCGGGGCTGGTTAGTGACTCATTTGTGACATTTGACTTTGGACTTTACGTTAAGCGGCCCCCACTTTTTTCTTTTCTCTTTTTTTTTCTTTTTCTTTTCTTTTTTTGTTGCGCAACTTTTTTTTTTTTTTTTTGTGAATCATTGCCATGCTCGATAATCCCTCCCACTGAGGAGCAGGTGACAAAGCCGAGACGTGTCAGAAAGGTCGCTTGAGAGGGCGGGATGAATTCCTGGGATGGCAAACGGATGCTGGGTATTGATAGCAGCGAGGGTGGAGCTCTCGGCGCCCCGGGGCCACGCTGTGTTCGCGCAGGACGTGTTTCAGGAAGCACCTGCTAAATTCCTCTGTCTTGTTAATCACTTCCATATCTTATTAGTGAGTCCGTCAAGGTGCGCTGGCGTCGCCTCACGGCCGCACCTCAAGCAGTTCTCCCGTTTGCACGTTTTCAGCCGGAATCACTGTTTTCTCAGACTTCTTGATTTGTGTTTTTCGCCCTCTATGGTTTCAACGAAGGAACGGCGACGTGAGACTAAAACAGAAGCGGAGACGAGTAGTGTGTCTGTTTATAATTAGCCAATGTGATATTTACCAGTTCCTCTCCAGTGGTGAGAAGCCGCGCGCGCTTGATAACAACAGTTCATTCACAGCTCGCTTTCCTGCGACGCTCTCTCTCGCCGTGCGAGGCGCTCGGCTGATTGAGCGCACACTCGCAAAGGGTGCGTCTGTTCACTGGCCAACGCACACTTTTTATCCCCTTACATTTGCGTAACCCTTTGTTCTTTTTTAGTACGTATGCTTTTATCCGCATAGATGTGCTTCAATGTGTACGTCCGTTTACCTTCACATGCGTACGCGTGACTCAGACGTGGATGATGCGCGGTCACGTGCAGGGTCATTTGTGCGTGTTGTGCCAGTTGTGCGATACACCCCCCCCCCCCCCCCCCACATATAACGTTGTAAATTAAATTCCTTTTTTGGCGTTTGCACCATTGGTCCAACTTCAGTGACGGAAGACTCAGAAGACTCCAAAGATGCCATATAAACTGTTGGAGACCTTTTTATTTTAAACAGAAATACAATGAGCCGTCCTTATGCCAAGAGACTTTACTGGGAATGAGGAAATTCAGCGAAGGGCCGCCCCCCCCTTTTTTGTTGTTACTTCACAGAGGGAGTTCTTTAGGATGTAAGTGTGCTTTGAGATTATAAATAAATGTGTGAAAACGTTCTTTCCTGAGTACACTTGGAAATGGATTAAGTGGGACACAAGCTTTGCGTCCTTGTCCGCTCTAGTCCTTAATTCATTGCATAGAAGCACACAGTAAGAGTAAGACTCATGAGACTATTTAAACCCTCTATAAATGCTATGGTACGACATGTTAATCTTAGCACCAAGCCTCAAATCAAGCTCAGTTGGACTAGCCCCGACCCACAGAACAAGAACATGTAAGAGGCCGTGTTGTTGTTGTTGTTGTTGTTGTTGTTTTTGTGGCCACACGCGACACGGGAGAGCTCCGACATTCCCCACTCCACTCCAACATTTTGCACCTTTAGTCAGATCCAGCCGTCATACTGCATTATGTTTGGTGTTCATGCTGATTCTTATAACTTTGCCCCGTTTAAAAATGTGTAATTTGAACCCCACAGAAACCAGCACCTGCAGGAGATGTCAGAGTGACTCAGGTAGAGCTATTCCCTCCCTTCTGGGCTGCAGCATCTCTTTGGCTTGTGACCCACACACATCCCGGGGAGGAGGGGATCTGCCCACTCCCTCCATCTCCACCTGTCCTCTGTCTAGCATCCTTCCATCCATCTTCTCCCCCCCCTCTGCCCTCGCGTCTGGTTGTACCGCCAGCGTTCGTGGAGGAAATTCTGTCGAACCAGCCCAAATCCGAAAAAAACGGGAAAGAAAAAAAAAAGGAATATATACCGTATGATTAATTAACAAAGAGAAAGTCACAAAATCAAATGACACAAAAGAAGACATTTGAAGTTGGAGGCTGTTCCCGATTTTGAGCATTCGGATCCTCGGGAACAGTTAGTTACACTAAAGGCCCGGTTTGGTTGAGTGTGATTTCTGACACAGAGCCGTCTCTCTGCAGGGCATGTTTGAGTTGTTCTGCCTCTAAGCTGTTGAGACTAAAGCCCATTTGATATGCTCTTCTCTTGGAAGAAGTTGGCTGAACAGAGAGGGGGCGAGAGGGGGGATATCATTGACTGCTTAAATGGCTTCCATTACACTTCTGCAAAAAGCATGACTTTTTATTTTCATTTTGCAGGGTTTGAAACGTCCTCCATATTCGTCTTTTGCATAATATTTTGTACCCGCACAGCATAGACCTACCTGCCAGTGTTTTCCAGACGCCTGTCTTTGATATCTATTATGAATTGCTTCTTTGTTATCATCCCACACATTGTCTCAGAAGGCTTCTATGTCAAGTGCTGCAGTGTTCATGCTGAAAAAGTGTAATTTCTCCATGTAGTATTTCCTCCCTTGTCTGTCTTGTTATCAACACAACAACAGAAGAGCTGCATGCACAGTATTACATGTCTCTATGGAAGCCTGGCATGTCCAGCGATGGTCATCAGAACAGACTTTTTGGGTCATTTCAGGACAAGAGGCAGGAATTTGCGACGCTTCTGAAGATTTCTCTTATTGAAACTTTTCAGCACAACGCTCAAACCGACTTGGTTAGCGCTGTAACTGAAACCCTGAAGTTTAAACCGTGAGCATTCACAGCAACGTGCTGAGGTCTCAGTGAATATGGCAGCCGATGCAGCTTTGTGATGGATCTTTTTATCATTCAAACCTCCTCCGTGCCATACAATCTTTGCTTTGTGGGATCACCCAAAGAAATGAGGCTGCAATGTTATATAGCAGACATTTTATGTCACGCTTAGTTAGATTTAAAATGTGTAAATCCAAATTTGTGCAACTTTAGCAGCAAAAGTTGTATAAATAATCAGAATGTGGCATTTGCACTAAAGTAGTGGTGGACTTTTTTTTCTTTTTTGATATATATTCCAAAATTGAACTGTGCTTGGCCCGCTGCCTTTTCAACACAGACGCTGTCATCAGCTCCAAAACGACTGATGGAATGCAGGAGAGAATAATATCCGTAACGGCCGTTTCCCGCTCACTTCATCGCTGGCACTTGACACGCAGTGGCACAAAATGAGGCCATTTCATCAGAACTCATCGCTTCTCTAAAGGCCAATTGCTTTGCAGAACTAAAATGATTCTTCCCTATGTGGCCACACTGACACATTTGGTTCAGCGATCCACGTCCGAGAGCTGTCCGGCACACTGACGCTGCTGGCCTCAGCGTCTCCTTTGCACGGGTTTAACTGCCTCGGTAAAGGGCACAGCGGTGCATGTGTGTCTCTTTCACCTCGCCAGCCCCTCGAAGGGCTTCACACTTAAATCATATCATGTGTTTATCAGCAAAGTGGGGTCGCCATCATCCACTCAACACGTTGGTGTGCACATCTTTTTTTTTTAAATGTCCCAGCATCAGATAGTCTGCTGGCTTTTTACCACACAAACACACCCTCGCTGCCCTCATCGGAGCTCATAGTAATTAGCATTGGGGCTTCCTTGTGAAAGAGGACTTGTACAAACACTGTCATTAGTTAATGGGCCTTGCAGCCTGTTACCGGGGCCTTTCTGGCTCTCTGCGCTGCTCCCGGAGGGGATGAGGTGAGATGAGAGGCAGCCGTGGTCCCTGCTACCAGTCAGCCGTACAGCAATAAGCTCAGCCTCCGTGAGGAGGCCCCATATGTCTCGGGGGTTATTACCCAATTAAAAGACACGGCTTCTGAGAAACGGAGCTGTGGGGAGCGGGTCATCGCTGTCTCGCTGCCGGCAGAGGAGGGAACAGACTACTGGTGAAGGAGAGGAGCGGTAACGTTTTTTGATGTCTTTTAACGTTTGACTTCTCGCATTTTGGTGTCTCTGTTTGCTGTTTGGAGGTATGAATGGTGAGATTAGCATGGGTGAGCTCAATAACCACATTTAAATGGGATCAGTAGCTTCCATCGGAAGGCAAACTGCATTGTTGTAGTTGTGATTTTGGAAGTACTCATGAGAAATATTAGATCCCGCTCCAAACCCTCAGTGCTCGGCAAAGGTGCCCTTAAGGCAGCGCTGACCGTACGTAACTATTGCATCAAAACTTTAATATTCGAGCCGCATGCTGAGTTGCAGCCACTTTGTGCGAGGAGAAACACTAATATCATTTCCCCAAAACGGTGCTATTGCTCGCTTTCATCTCGCCTGTAGCAGAATTTGCTCATTATGAGCAGTTGCAACCGCAGACAATCTATTTCAACGTTGTAAATCAATACCTTGTGATAGAAGTTCTCAGGAAAAGGTCCGCAGCTGTCCCTTTTTTTTTTTTTTTTTTAACATGCTGCAAAGGTTTATTAAATATTGTCAAAGCAACTGTTCGTTGACTGTGGACGCCACCGGTGTGACGGCGCTACGGAGCGAGTAAGGTTTCAGCAAAGAGCCATTAAGTAGCTGCCCTTGGCTTGTCTCTGCCACCAGGTAGCTGATGTAGCCTTCAGCAGAAACCGCATGATTTAATGGGACTAAAATGCGAATCACCGGCATGGATGAAAAGAGGGAACACAAAAGAGGTGTAACGAGAGAAGAGACCTTGCTTTCACTTGTTGTGTTTAAAAAAAAAAAAAATTTTTACTCGACTGCTCCTAACCTGCATTAGTTTAGTCTACAAAACCTCTTAATTACTAATAGTGTAGACAGATTCAACGCCTTCAACTCCGAAGTGTCTGCGAGTAACAATGGGTGTGTACAGTGTGTGTGAGCGTAACGTGATTAAGTGCGAGGAGCATGGCAGCATAGTTGCGTCTGTGTGATGGTGTTGGCAGAGGTTTGTAACCCGAGGGATTGTGAGGTGAAAACAAGGTCGCGTGCACCGTACTGGGCCCGCTAAATATGCACGTGGCCCGGAGCGGACCCGCGCTGTATTATGAATGACTGCTGGCCTTGGCAGCTCGCTGGCGTCGGTGGCTCGTTGCCACGCCGATATGATAAGTCACCACTGCTCTCTTCTCTCCTCTGTGTGTCTCTCTCTCTCTCTCCCTCTCAGAGCAACTCCATCACTGGTGCTTGGAGCTGATCTTTAGGTCTAAATGGAGGGTTTTCCAGTTGAAGAGACAGTCCCTCGGTGCAGAGGTGGTGATTTAGTGGGGAGATAAGCGCCCCGTAATGGCAGGGTGGAATAATTCCTCTTTAACTAGGAGGCTCGGCTGTCTCCACCCGCCAGAAGGAAATGTTACCGCTCCTCTGCTTTGTTCTTCATTCCTTTTCTCTCTTCTTTTTTTCTTAGCCTCTCTCCTTTCCTTATGCCTTTGGACTCTCCTCGTGACTTGGTTGGATATTAATCATTCCGTTGTCAGCGCGAGCAGTTTAGACTTTGTGTACCTTACTTCACAAGTTACAGATGGCACAACTCACTCATTTTTTCCATTTTCAGTCATGTTTTTATTTTAATTAGATTTACTGGGGACTTGGACAGCAGTTGTTGTTTGTGGCCTTGTAAATCCTCCCAATTTTAATGCTGATTCCAATGTCCCGCGCTGTTTGAACATAACAATCTCTTCAGGGCAGAAACATTTTCAAAAACTACGTCTTAAAACCCCAAACCCGGTAACGGCTCTTTCTGAAAGCTGATGTATCTGGGTCTACGAGGCTAAAAATAGCGTCGCTTAAATTATTGAATTAGGCAGTGAACGCTGTAACCTTTCTTTTGTTGGTTCGTCGAGACAACTTTCTAAATCAAGAGGCAGCGTGTTTGAAAAAGCCACAGAACTCTGATCGATTCAAGGACGACAAGTTGATTGGCGTCGGGGAATAATATAATTGGCACGGAGCTGTAAAAAAAAATATGACTCGCCTTCACGAAGAGGACGAGAATGCTGCTCAAAGATGTGAGAGGACACGCAGCGTTTGGAGGGGAATCATGTAGTGGTGATGAGTGGAGGAAGTGACTGAGAGTGAGGACATTATTTCCCACATAGATTGTATCTGTAACCCTGATCACGCAGTCGCTGTCTGCCTCTCACGCTCCATTCGGCCTCTTCCTCTCTGTGGCAGAAAAAACTGGGAGGTCCTTTGTGCTGTTGAGAGGTTTCAGTTTATATTTTACACAGCAGGTAGAGATGATGTGATGTAACTGTTGTGAAATCCGCTCAGGCAAATAATCAATGTAGGTTTATTGAGTTAGGCCGCCCCCTGCAGGCGACGGCGACACCTGCAGGCCGGATGGCTCAGGACGCTCATTTGAGAAACATCTCAAAATGGGACAAATCCAGTTGTTTTTTCTTGCTGATCACTCACACATAAACCCTTAAACACGCCACGTGGATACACATGCGCAGAGCCGTGTTGAGCTGAAACTAACGCATCCTGTGCATATGTGTGTGCGTGTGTCCGTGTGTTTCCGTTGCAGCCCTGCTGTCGTCGTGGTGCGAGGAGCTGGGTCGTCTCCTCCTGCTGCGTCACCAGAAGAGCAGGCAGAACGAACCGCAGGGAAAGGTTCCCATGCAGCCCAGTATGAACAGCATGAAGCCCGGCCTCACGCACAGGTCAGTGGGGAGCCTCCGTGACGTTATCTGAAGATGAAAGCGTGCGCTTATCTCACAGCAAACCTCTTTTCAATTCAGCTCAAGGTAACTGGCAGAGTTGCATTTGAATAAATGAGGTTGATACCAGCGTTTCTACCCGTTTCCTGCGAGTTATTCCCCACGACGGGATACACACCAAACACATCCGACACGTGCAATCAAATTTGTAAATAAACTGGGAAAGTGATATCACTAAATGCACAACACAGCATACGTACAGGGACAGCCACAGTCTCTAAGGCACATTTGATGAGAGTATGTTTTAGGTGGAGACGGTGTGGTGTCTGTCTACGTGTTTGTGTGTGTGAGAAATGAAAACACACTGCTGCATTACATCCTAGAGGTTTTTTTTTTCAGTTTTCCCACCAAAATTGTTTTAATGATATATTTCCCTAAATTGCAACAAACTAATTCATTAAAGCTAATTAAGCTTGTTTTAAATTGTCAGGGTGCACCAGAGGGCCAGTCTTTATTTGGCTGTTATCTTGCATTCTGTGCTTTTGTCTTACACAACCCAAGACGCAGGTTTTCCACAGTTGTGGAGCTGAGGGGATTTGGGGTGGAGGTGCATGCCGGCATGGAGGGGAGCAGTGAAGTCATGTTTTTGCAGAACATTGTGTGCTCATGCCTCGCGCTCTCAGAGTTAAGAGTCCTGTTTGCCTCTGCTGAGGATCTTGGGATAATGTTGGGCCTTTATGAGGAAATATTGAACAATTCCAAGATCCAACCTCTTAACGAAAACAAGCTGCTCTCCAGAACCAGCAGTTCGTCCCAGTCCACTGGCAACGTGCCTCTCCCCATGAGGAATCAGCTTGTTTATCATATGTAACACACTTTTGTTTAAAATTGGAAAATGATACATTCCAACTCTTGGAATCCATATCCAAATGTTTTTAACACCTTCAAATCATTCGTTTTGATCATACTTAGTTTTTCTACTGATGCATGAGGGCATGCGACTCCTCATTGGCTCCTTTGGGGTCTTTATGTGCAGCCGATAGCAGATATCCTGGCTGAAAACGTGTTTTGAAATTGTACGCCAAACATTTCAAATTGCCGAGCATTTTGGAGTGAAGGATTCCCAAATTATTCACATCGCTGGACGGAATTCAACTCTGTTGGCTTCCCATCGGCTGCTTTCTTGGCCAAACAAAACTTCAAGTGACGTTTGCCGTTTTTGTGTTTTGATCTGCTTCCCAGTGATGGATCCTTTCCTTATGACTCTGTCCCCTGGCCACAAAACTCCAACCAGCCCCCTGGGTCATTGTCGGTGGTTACAACAGTTTGGGGCGTCACCAATACGTCACAGAGTCAGGTATGTCCACGCGTGAACACCATCTAGCTGGACTCTGGTTCATTTTACAAACTCAATGGATATTTTTTGATCCACCTTTCTTTGTTAAATCCAGGTGCTCGGTAACCATATGACGAATAGCAATAACTCTATGAATCCTGGAGGTAACCCTATGGGATCAGGTCTATCTGCCAGCGGCGCAGGCCTCAACTCCCCCCAGTTCAATGCTCAGCAGCAGCAGTTTCCAAACAAAGGAGGCTCCAACCAACAGTACATGCAGCAGGGCATGTACGGCAGGCCCGGCTACCCCGGCGGTCCTGGGGGATACAGCGGGAGGTAAGAGACTGGATACAACGTTTTTAAGAACTCGAAACAATAGAAAAAAAAGATCAAAGGGTTATTTAAATATGTGATCCGTCTATTTTTCACAGTTACTCTGGAGGCCAAAACCCTCCACCAGGAGGTATGGGATTGACCTCCCACTCACGTCCTCCCGGTGACTTCACACAGCCAGCCGCCGCTGCCGCCGCTGCTGCCGTGGCTGCAGCCGCTGCCACGGCAACAGCCACAGCAACGGCAACGGTGGCAGCGATGCAGGAAACCCAGAATAAAGATATGAGCCAGTATGGACAGGTACGGCACACGCCTGCCAACACAGGTTTACAGTTGTAAACCACAAATTCTGACAGAAATCTGTTATCCAACCACGTGCTCAACAGCTAACCAATCTCATTTAACGCTAAAACCTTCGGTTTGTTTTCCAGATGTGTTCTTCGTTCCAAATGGGCCCCGCACAGACCTACAACAGCCAGTACATGAACCCGTCGGGCCCACGAGGCCCCCCTGGAGGCATGAACCCCGCCAACATGGGTTCAGCCATGAACAACCCCAACATGAGTGGCCCTCCGATGGGCATGAGCCAGGCTCGTACTCCAGGCATGGTGCCTTTCGGGGCTCACGGCCAAAGGATGCCTCAGCAGGGGTATCCCGGGGGACCTCGGCAGGGCATGCCAATGCAGGCGATGAAGAGGCCATATCCTGGGGAGGTGAGTGGAAAGATCTGATGATTAAAACAACCAGGAGAAAACAGGCTCGGTTTCAGAGGCTTCCCACAGTTTCACAAGTCGTGGCGCCATAAAAACTGTACACACCCTGCGAATAGCGTATTCTCTTCCATGTGGTGCTGAACTGCTTTCTAGTTTGCACCGAAGTCTTGGTTCACAAAAACATGCCACCCCCAATTGTGTTTGCGCCTGGAGCCCCAGCTTGTTTTCACTATTTCAGGGACACAGAGTTCTACGTGTCAGATCGCACCTAAAAGATGCTTAACCTATTTTTCTTTTTTTTCTGTAACTGTCTCTGTCCAGGCAAGTTACGGGGGTCAGCAGTACGGACCGAACAGTCAGTTCCCACCACAGCAGGGTCAGTACCCCGCATCAAACGCCTCCAGGCCGCTGCCATCTCCAAACTACCCCAGCCAAAGGATGCCGGGGCAGCAAGGCCAAGGACAGTACCCACCCGGCATGCCCATGAGCCAGTACTACAAGGTCCGTCATACCACAGCAACCACATTCCACATGCTACTCACGGTCATTTAGGGAGCTAGAGCCTCTCCCAGCATGCACTGGGGCGAAAGGGCAGGGACAGCCAGATCATAGCACATCTGTATAACGCACATGTGTATGTTGCAATAAGGAGCTAAGTGTAATTACTTTCGCTCCTTATTCCCTCACAGCAGGAGCCCTTCAATGGTCAGAACACCAACTTCCCTGGAGGCGGATACTCCTACGGCCAAGGCAATGGGGTATGTGCTCGGTCAGGACATGCAGCAGTCTCAGTCATACATGTGAAATGAGTTGTACAGATGTTTTCATTGTTCCTGCTTTTTACAGCCCCCGAGGCCCGTGAACTACCCCCACTCCCCGGTCCCTGGGAACCCCACACCCCCTATGACCCCCGGCAGCAGTATCCCTCCGTACTTGTCGCCAAACCAGGACGTGAAGCCGCCGTTTCCACCCGACATGAAACCAAATATGACAGCACTTCCGCCCCCTCCGCGTGAGTACCCTCGGCAGTTCGGAAAACCGACGAAGCGGTTACTTTTACAGGCGGGTTCTTATATTTCATCTGGCGCGTTGTGTGAATTTTTTTCTTCCCAGCTAACGCCAATGAGGAGCTGCGGCTGACGTTCCCAGTCAGGGACGGTGTGGTGCTGGAGCCGTTCCGCCTGGAGCACAACCTGGCCGTCAGTAACCACGTCTTCCACCTTCGACCCTCCGTCCACCAGACGCTCATGTGGAGGTTCGACCACCGCACTCCACTTCTAATGTATCGTTTGGTCAAATCTTTGTGTGGAAAAAAAAACTCTGACTTGATGTTAGGGACATATTTTCTCTTTCTATGTTATTCTCCCGCGTAAGCTTCTGAAAATACCATTTGCATCACACGTCTTTTAACGCAAACAGTTCTTTGCTGGATATCGCTGACGACGCTGGTCCTATCCCGTAGGTCGGACCTTGAGCTCCAGTTCAAGTGCTACCATCATGAAGACAGGCAGATGAACACCAACTGGCCCGCCTCCGTCCAGGTCAGCGTCAACGCCACGCCCCTCACCATTGAGAGGGGGGACAACAAATCCTCCCACAAACCGCTGCACCTGAAGCACGTGTGCCAACCTGGAAGAAACACCATCCAGATAACGGTCACCGCCTGCTGTTGTGTGAGTACACGCTGTCAAGTCGATGCAGAATTACTTAAAGTGGATGGATGTAATTATTTAATATTTTTTTTTAACAGAAAGAGCAGCTGGGATGATTTCATTTAGTATGTGTGTCACGCTCGGTAGACTTTCCTGTTTATTTCCGGGTTCTCGTGTTGCTTCGCAGTCGCACCTGTTTGTGCTGCAGCTGGTCCACAGGCCATCTGTGCGATCCGTCCTCCAGGGGCTCCTGAAGAAAAGGCTCCTTCCAGCAGAACACTGCATCACCAAGGGTACGGCTCACTCAGTCTCCGTGTAGTTATTATGCATAAGCACATATTAATTACACAAGCTCCCACCACCTGCTCCTCTTTATGGTGCGCTTTGAAATAGGCACTGAAATACACCTGCCACTGTTTACCAACTAATTCCTGCCACTCTGAAACACTTTCTTTTCTCAGTTAAGAGGAACTTCAGCAGCGTGGCAGCCTCTGCAGGCAGCACTACTCTCAACGGGGAAGACGGGGTGGAGCAGACGGCCATCAAAGTGTCGCTGAAATGTCCCATTACCTTCCGACGCATCCAGCTTCCCGCACGAGGGCACGACTGCAAACATGTGCAGGTTAGCTCAGATATAAAGGAGTGTCGCACGTCACTTGCTCGTGGGAATGTTGCATGTCGCTGTGAACAAGGGGTTATTCTGAAGCGCATTTGTGACGGTGTGCTCCACAGTGCTTTGACCTGGAGTCCTACCTGCAGCTCAACTGTGAGAGGGGGACGTGGAGGTGTCCTGTGTGCAAGTAAGCAAAAGGCTATTTTATTGTTTCAAATGTAACGATAGCTGATGATGTTGGCCACTAATGGATCATATGAAATAACTTTTGTTGCCAGTAAAACAGCATTATTAGAAGGTCTGGAGGTGGACCAATACATGTGGGGAATCCTCAACGCCATCCAAAAGTATGTTGTTAATTTGTTTTTCTGTCTTTCTCTTGCCTTCTGAGTTGCTCGCTTCACAAACTAAACACGTTCTACTTTCTGGTCTAACAGCTCAGAGTTTGAGGAGGTCACTATAGACCCCACATGTAGCTGGAGACCTGTGCCCATAAAGTCTGAGATACACATCAAAGAGGACCCTGACGGACCACTCGCCAAGCGCTTCAAGACCATGAGCCCCAGTCAGATGACCATGCCCAATGTGATGGAGATGATCGCCCAGCTAGGGCCCGGCACCGGACCTGGACCGGGCCCTTTACTTGGTCCCAGCCCTTACCCGCCACACCCTAGTCAACATCCTAGTGGCAACGGGGGAGACTACCCCGGAGCAGGTAAAGGAAAACTGCGTGGATGAATAACAGGGTCGTCAGCTCATTTGAGGGAAGAGGGAGACGTTTCAACTGATCTGTTGTTTGTCTCCGGTGCATTAAGTGTAAAAAAAAAAAAGCCCCAAGGAGAGTTTTGTGCTGAACCTGGTGTAAAATATTCTAAGCTCATTGCTCTTGATAAATGTTTCATCACAGTGAATAAAAAGTGGGATCGTGTGTTTCCCCTTATGTAACCACTTTGAAAAGAAAACTTTTCAGACAAGTCAGCAAAGCCAATGTGCAGTAAGCATTTTGATGTTTTTTTTTCTGTCCTTCATCCTTCAAGGCAACAGTTACCACAGCCAAGGGAACTTTGACTTCCCTCATGGGCCCCCCTCTGGTGGTGGAGGTGGAGGAGGTCCCCCTCTGAATGACTTCGTCCATGGCCCCCAGCTCTCCCACCCGCCAGACGGCCCTGGTGGTCTCCTCTCCCAGGACAAGCCCCTCAATCACGGCATGAATGATGCAGTAAGTTGGGTTTACTTCAAAGGCTGCTTGCTTTCCACTTCCATGTAGCAATAAAGGATGTTAATGGTTAATGCATAGTCTCCCTATGCAATCTAGTAAATTCGAATTATGCTTGGATTTGTTTTTAGGTCTTAAAGTAATGTTGTCCTGTAGCATGATGTGTTGCCTTAGTTTGTCAAAGATCCTCTCTGGGCAATCTGTCATACTTTCGTCGAAAGGCTCCGTTTTTGGATCTGAACGAGGTGCAGCTTGTGCCTGTAGCCAGCGTGTGTGCTCAGTCATGCTCACATGCTCATGTCACCGTATAATGTTGCAGCTGTACGCGTCTGCTGATCACAGCCTCCATTCAGAAGGCCTGTTCCATATTATCCACGCTGGAACTCATTTCGCATTTTCCCTTTCTCTCTTCCCCTCGCATCCTCCCCCTCCTTGACACTCTTTGTCTTCTTTCTTATTTTTCACTCTCTCCATCTCTGTCGCTTTTCTGTCTCCCTTTCGCACCTGCAGATGTCCCATACCGATCAGTCCCATAACCCCATGCAGCAGAGCTTGCATGCGTCTCCCCACCCCGCCGGCCATTCAGGGCCGCCCTTACATCACAGCGGCCAGTCAGGGCCGCCGTTGCATCACGGCGGCCAACCATCGCAGCCGCCTCGCCAGTCGCAGCCTCAGCCGCATCAGCAACCTCAGCAGCCCGGGCAGAACAGTCACCCCCACAGCGATTTGAACTTTAACCCCTCCTCGGATGGGCAGATGGGTCAGGGAGCCCAGGATATGCCCGAACCGTCCCTGGATGTAAGTGTGTCCGCCCTGGGCACCCTGAGCTAACTGTTAGCGGCTAGCGCAGTCTGCTACAGCTGCTCTCATCCCTCTGCTGCGTGTTCGCCTTTCGTGTTTGACTCTCCGGTTGCTTCTTTTTGTGCTCGCTTCTGTGTACTTTTGGCTTCAACACTCTTAGCGTGTCTTAGCTGCAGAGATGTAAATATGTTGTTTCCTTTTATTTGGCCTTGCCACTCACTGTCACTTTCTGCCTTTTTTTCCGTAGCTGCTTCCAGAGCTGGCCAACCCCGACGAGTTACTATCATACCTGGACCCTCCCGACCTTCCCACCAACAGCAACGACGACCTTCTCTCCCTCTTTGAGAACAACTAGCCCCTCCCCTGAAGAAAACAAAACAAGCCCTCTTGCACCTACAGGAGTCGTGATTGTGTTTGACTGTCCGTCCACAGACACCTCAGCGACCTCCTATAGATACTTCAAACAGCTTCCTATGCTCATGCACGCACACACACACACACACACACACACACACACACACACACACACAGTCTATGGACAGATAATGTGTGGCATAGGAGCGCGGCTCAAAAGAGAGACGTCTGTCTGGGACGTCCAAGGGAGAGAGCCGGACCGCCACTCTTCCCTGCACTCCCTTTTGTCCTCGTGTAAAGATTCCACGCACCAGTTCCACCGCCTTTGACTCTAAACACACCATTTACGGCCAGCCATGTTGGCGGGCACTAAAGTGAGATATATATATATATATACATATATATATACACACATACACATGATATGTGACTTTTTTAACAGTAAACTGTGCAGCTATAATCATGTGTAACCAACACAGAGGGGACAGGAGCCTTTGTGGGCTTTAGGAAAAGTGTTGTAGCGTTGTTTGTTTTTCATTATGAGTTATTTTTTGTGAAAAAAAACCTTGTCTTGTAAGAGTGTTTTTATCCTTTTCGAAAATGTGTTCTTCCAAAACTGGCACGTGCCATCATGCCCTTTGACTCCCAGACGTGTGTGGTAAAATGTTCATGTGTGAACAGAGGAAACAAATGCACTTTGTGCAATGCAGTGTGTGTGCGTGCGTGTACGTGTGTGCGCACGTATGGTTGCGCGAGGGTTTGCATATATTTGCGTGTCCTCTTTTGTCTGCATGCGAGCGTATGTGATGAACCGCGAGGAGCGAGTTTGAGCCTGAGGAGGGAAGAAAATGATTGAATCGGAAGAAAGACGCCACCATCCACTCTACGAGCTGTCTCAGTACTTTATGTCCAGTCTGTAGTCGTTCTAGTGTATTTATTGTAATGTTTCGCTCTTCCTCATCAAACTCACCATTTTGTCCACAAGTGCATGTGTGCCAATGGCTCCTGTTGTCTTTGTCCAGCCTAACCGTGCTTGATCAAATAACTGTCTCTGTTGTTTTATATTTATTATTTTATTTCAAATTCATCAGTTTGTGTGTTACCATCCCACTTATTAATCAGATACACATCACCAAAGTTGTCCTATGCTTTTTGTAAGTGGTTGGACCTGGATGTTATGTCGACGCAAGAGCAGGATTTCAACATCCTACAGACGTCTACAGAAGTTTCTAAATCACTGTTTTATAGAAGCGTCTGTGTGATTGTTCCTTTTGTCGTTTTGTTACTGATGAAGTGCATCTTTTTGGGAAAAACATCCTGCATGATCCAACAGTTTCCGAAGCTGTTGTGTACACCCATTGTGAATACTTTGTGACTGTACAGTACTGTACCTATCTGATAACTTACTGATAACTACATGGTACTGTATGTCTGTCAAGGACTACACACTCGCACGCACACACACGCACACACACACGCACACACACAGACAGAATCCCTACTTAATCAGTCCGATATTGTAACAAATGGATCCAAATGCACTCACACTGGACTTGTAATGAGTACCTGTGTATTGTTTCTCCTCACCTTGTGACAATGCATTGGGCAAATGGAATATTCAGACTGCTCAGCAGAAAGTTATCAAAGTTTTTATTTTCTCGTGTATACAAATGGATCAGGTTTAAATTTGGTGTTTTCTGTCTAAAAGATTGTCGATGCAGCTTAGAGGTCCAAATTTCTCAAAAACAGACTTGTGAGATTTCATCTTCGTCTTTATTTAAATTGAAAATGCAAAAAATATCCTCTCGATTGTTTCAAGGCCTGATTATTAGTTTTTGATTACAGTAGCTGGCTAAAATTTGGGAATCGTGGCTTTTCATCACATTTGATATTGCTTTAAGTTATTACTTTTGTCAGTTGTGAGTATAATTTGGTTTACACAGTTTTATGCAGTACATAAAATAAATTTAAAACATGATGTATGATATTTAACAAAAGTTCCCCCATCTGAGATTCGTAAACCATTTGAAGAACCGACCATGGATTTATTGATCTTCATAGCTGATCAAATCACCTGCATATAACAAAGTTGAAGGATCAGATGTTGTATGTGTTTTTATGTTTGTTGAAGACAATGCACTGCCGCATTGGGATGTTTTATGTCCCTACACAGTGTGTAACTGTAACTGCAACCTTTCACAAAATCACATTTAGTCATTTTAGCGACACAAATTGTGTGTCTGATTGCAGACATTTAAAATTGAATTGAGGATTTGAAAGAGAATGCAATTAATGTTGTAAAATGGAATTCTGGGGGAGACCCCCCTCCTGTTTGCATTACATGTGGAGGCTGGGGGTGGGGTCGGGGATGAAAGGGATACGTGTATATAATGTAAATGACAAATAGAGACACGTTAACAGAAATGTATTCATTTTCTCCAGGGGGAGTGTGAATAGTGTATTTAGAATTTGTAAAGCTTGCATCCTCCTGTCAGACATTGAATTTGCAAAATGAGTCTGTGTTCGATTGCGTCTGTGCAGACCTCTCTAATCACGCCTGTTCATTTATGGAAGATACTTTATGTACCCCTCAGCATGGGGTTTCAGAGAAAAAAGACATTTTTCCTTTGTGTAATATTAAACTTCTGTGTATTTCTCTATTACCTGTGTACTTTATAAAGGTGCTGCAAATTTATCAAAACCTTTTGAGGTATAATTGGGGCTTGAATACGTTGAGCTTTTAGTAGCTCTAAGCGTTGTTTCCAAATTTTCAGTTTGTAAAAATAATTTGGCAAAATATGCTATAAAAAGGTACAATCTGGGGTGATTGGCACAGCAGGTGGCAGTCGTCTCTTTGGGTTTGTACATTCGATGTGCAATCGTTTCATATTCTAAACTGGTCGGAAAGAAAGTTGTGATTTTTAGTCTTGCAAATCTGTATGTAGTTAGATGACGTGACATCCTAATATTTATCTAATAAATATGTATTCAGATGAAACACAATTGACGGCCTTTTGCGTCTTTTGACATGCAAAGTGCAACCAGCATATATTAAACCATTACATATTGCATAAAAGAGAGGAAAGGGACATTCTGCGCAACATAATCCAAAGATAGAGCACGGAACTACACGTGCATAGAATTTGCAATCCAGCTAATTTAAATACCCTTGCATCGTTTTATAATGATGTTTTGTATTGGCTGGAATAGCACACAATAACCAATAGGCCTTTCTTCTTTGAGGACAATTGTACATGTCACAGTAGGAAAAACACAGCAGTAATTGATGAAAGTATTTATGCTGGAGTTGCTGGGTTTTGGTATTATACATGCTGGCACCGTTAATTAATAATTAGTCACACTCGTGCCGTGTTCCCAGTCAATTTCTGCTGTGCAAAAAAAAAGTCTACTTCACCACTTTAATACTCCACAAGCTATTGATAAAAGGGCATTGTAGAAGTGTAGAAAATCAAGAAGTTTAACAGTAGGGAAAGATAAATATTCAACTTTAACTTTATTACAATCGTCATGTTCATACAGATACATCCATTAAACCCAAATTCTGCATTCTACCCAGAGTATTTAGAAACACTGAACTGCTGTCAAGAGGAGTTTTGATAACTTCGTGGCCTCCAAGCAATTTCGTGATTGATGATTGAAGCCTCTAAGTGTCCTGAATCAGGCCAACGTACCTGTGACCACAAGCTCGCAGTCCCAAATGATGCTGATAACAAAGTTCCCCTTTGGCTTAAACTTTTGCAACACCTGATGATACTCAACAATTAGGAGCATCACCTGAAATGACTCACTAATGTTATCATTAAATGCCTCCTTGTTTGTCGCAATGAAATATGTTTTTGGGAAAGCAATATCAAAGCTTAATTGGATTTCATCATGTCCTTCCTGTGGTGATATGTAGTTTCACTTAGAAGCACGACCCATATGCAAATGGCATGAATGAAAAACTGGTGAAGGGACTTCTTAGAAAGTGTATATGACTGACAGAGACTGGCATTGTAAAATTTGGAAATGTTAGCAGTCATCCCAGATAGAGTACATGTTAATAGTAAAACAATACTGAAGGTTATTTGCAGAAAATAAACAGACTTACAAATAAAAATGTTATTTCAGCAGTTAAAAAATATTTTCAAAATCAAGTTTTTGTATTGTGGATTCCACTGATTACAAACCAGACGACGAATCTCATCCAAAATATAATATAAAAAGTTGGCCACGTGATAAGTAAAGACACACTATACTTCCGGGAACCTCCCACGTGGTGTCGCTGTTTGTTTCAGCGCCGCGGGTCCTGTCAGTCCACGTGACGTCACATGTAAACACCGCCGGTACCGATGGGCCCGCGGGTCCTCCTCACCAGGCCGGCTGAGCAGTGATGTTACAAGTGCGGTACCGCCTGAGATACAGCAAGCCGGGCGTCCTCGCCGCGACGCTCTTCTCCTCCAGTCCCGCCAAGAACCCCGTCGTGTTCCTGGACGTCGCTGCGGACAGCGAGCCCCTCGGGAGGATAACCATTGAGGTAACCTTTAGCTAGCATTGCTTAGCTAGCTAGCTAACGCTAGCCTCTCCGTAACGTTTACCGCGGTCTACACTGCACGGCTCAGTTAAAGTGTTCACCCGGGAGTCTGAACGTGTGTGACTCTGTGTTGTCTTGCAGTTGAATGCAGATGTGGTGCCAAAGACTGCAGGTACTTTTCAACCATGTTCCCCCAAACTTAGCTGCCGAACATCAAATGTTAATGTTGTTATAAGGCTGCTTTAATAAATAAGACTACTCACTTCACAGCTAACTTCAGAGCACTGTGCACGGGGGAACCTGGCTTCGGGTTCAAAGGCTCCGTGTTCCACAGGGTCATACCGGAGTTCATGTGTCAGGTAAGGTGCACGGTAAAGATGGTGCACGGTAAAGATGGTGCACGGTATAGATGGTGCACGGTAAAGCTGGGCCACATTTCATGTATTTGCCATGTGGTCTGTTGTTGTGTTTCCGGTTTCAGGGGGGAGATTTCACCAAACACAACGGGACAGGAGGGAAATCTATATACGGGAAGACCTTCAGAGATGAAAACTTCATATTAAAGCACACTGGTCCAGGTACATCTCCACCGCTTCTTGTGTACAATCACCATACTTACTATATTATTATATCTGCATCTATACGTCTAGCTTCATATTAGGGCTGTTGCATCATGAGACTTTGCTCGAATAATCTTCAACTTTGTTTATTGTGCGTTTTCTGTTTTGTTGGGAGATTAATACACACAAAGAAAATAATAGGCAACTGCAAAGATTTAGGAGATGCAGAGCTATTTGCTCTGTATTATGTGTTTTTCAAATGAGACTTTTTCAGTATTTCTTAAAACAAAAACATAACCGGGTTATCTTCATTACAGAAATATCTCGTCACCCCTTAATTTGTATTAT